CATGCAGAGAGCACAATGGCCAATCAAAATAACCCACCCCCAAAATATATGCACAAGCATAAGTCATTTGCGCGCTGGCACTCAATTGCTCTCATTCTCTTGCTCTCACAATGTATGAATGTATGTGTATGCTTTAGCATAACATTGTCTCAGCTTCATTTCGTCTCTCTCCCACAGCCGCTCTCCCATCTTCTATTTTCTGCATTTGTCTACAATTTCGCTCTCCAAAGCTTCTGCTCAGTCTCCATTCGTACGCGCTGCCAACAACACGCTGCCGCCTGTTGCTCTTCACTTTACTTTAAACTAGTCAGCATGGTTGAAGAACTGACGCCCGTCTATTTTGCCGTTGGGCCCAATGCTCGGGAAGTTACCTGCCCGTACTGCAAGGTGCTGGCCAAGACACGAGTGGTGCGTTCCTGGCCGCACTTGTGCACTAAACGTCATCACTGCGGCGCTTGCGGCGAATATCTGGGTGTCTACAGGCGACCCCAGCTATAAGCAACTAAAACACGTTTGATTTTTATATAGTAAAATAAATGAATATGCCATTGTTTTTATATCGAGTGTGTTATTTAATTGCTTGTGTGTAAGAAGAGTAGCATATAAGATTTTCGCACTTGCTCCTTCGCTCTCAGCTGTGTTTTTTAGTTGCTCTCATTTGGTATTTTCAATTGAGCGTGCGAGAACAGCACGTCTCACTATCGCTCTCTCATTCATTTGGAATTCTTTCCGCTCTCATTTGACTCTTTTTCGTTCTGCTGGGGCGTCGCTAGTTTCAGTTACGCCTGTTCGTTTACAGTGTGAGCACGCAACATGACCGCAGTGGAGCCGCAAGTTGTTGCCATAAGCATCGGCAACCTCAAGGCCCCGGTGGGTTACCTGCAGACGGAGCCAACCATGGTCAATTGTCCAGCCTGCGAGCACTTTGCCATGAGTATCGTGGCCCATGAGACAGTCAGCTATTTGCAGCGAATACTCAGTCTGACCAAGCTATGGTGAGTATATCTATTTAAGATATATGTATTATATACTATAACCGTTATTCTTGCAGCCGCAAGTGGTCGGGTCGTCACGATTGCAATCACTACTGCGCCCACTGTGGCTGCTTTATAGGACGATATGTGCCCATTGGTTGCTACGAGCGCTGCCTGTCCAGGTCGGCCCGCCAAAAGGCCATTGTGGACGAAATGCATCTGAAGGTGAAGCCAAGGGATTGTGCTGTGCGTGCCCAAAAGCTCAGATCACAGATTCTGGCCAAGCGGGCGGAGAAGCGCGCCAAAGCTGAGGCGCAGCAAGCGAATCAAACTGTGTTGCCCAACCAATGATCGCAAACTGCTGCAGTTCGGCGAATTGACCTGATGGTTGATGTCTTGTCTAATTGTGCATGTGAAAGCATAAGTTGTGTCTTGTTGAAGTCTTGTTTTGACTAAGTTAGCTTTAAAATCTGAGTTGCATTGAAATAAATGTACTTTTCTTTTAATTGCAATATATTTATACTGCAAATGTATATAAAGTAAAAATTAAATGAAAACCAATTGATCTTATTGGGATGTTGTCTAGGCTAAATTAGCTTTTATATAAGACACATTCGACAGGTTGTCGTCTTAGCTAAGCTTGTCTCAATTGGGACATTGGCGGTAGGTGTATTAGCTAAACAACAACATTCTCTTAACATTTCAAATGCATAGAAATATTTTGTATTATTCGTAATTGCAGCAAATAAAATTTATTTACCACCTGCCACAAATTCCCGATTGGGTCGTATGCAATTGCTCTCGCGATCATAGATGCCCAGGAAGCTCTTGCAGTTGGCACAGTGAAGATACTCGCGATTGTCCGACGACTGGAGGCAGGGCAGAAAGCAGAAGGGCCAACAGTTGGCCACACAGGAGGCCGGACAGCCGGTGCTCGTATAGAACTCGTTGCTAGTCTTGATCACCGGCCGCCGATTGACGCTACATCTGGGACAATAAATGCAGCCCTCGGTGGGTACCCAGCGCTCGATGGAGCTGCGATAGAATTGTCGACGACCCAGATCCTTCGAATCCGTTGCCATCGTAGCTGAGAGACTCGGCTTGGGCGTATCGCCCTGAGACTTGCGCTTCAAATCTGTCAAGGGAGCATAATTCGCACACCTAGGCTATATTTGTACCTATATAAAGAGCTACACTTACAGCGCTCGGCTTCGTCGGCCATCTGCACCTCGGACAGGCCGGTCATCTTGCTAATCTCCGAGAGACGCTCCTGGCTGATGCCATGCTCGGCGGCCAGCTTGTGCAGATTGAGCAGCTTCTCGTTGGGAGTGTCCGCCAGGATTTCTGGATGATCCTTCTGCACGTGATGCACCAAGCAGCTGGTGTCGTAGCGCGAGCACTTAATGATCTTCAAGCACTTTAGACAGCGTAGATACTGCACATCGGTTGCTGCTGCTGGGCTGGACATAACTAATTGGCATATATATGTATAAATATGAATGAATATGTATGTATTCTCTTAGGTAACGCACAATTTATGAATATGTTTGTGTTTGATCGTTCGTGTTTAGATAGTCAAAAAGTTACTAGCCTCGAGATCCAACAGTTTGGACAGCTTTAGGTGAGCCAACTCGGATTTGAATAAGTGTATAAAAGACAAAGTAATATTTGTAACGTATTTCACATTATGTATTGCGTATTCCATAGTACGTATAGCGCATTACGTAAAGCGTATTACGTATAACGCATTACGTAAAGCGTATTACGTATAACGCATTACG